GACAACCCCTTATCACCCCGAAGGTAATGGGCAAGTTGAACGATTTAATAGAACGCTCTTGTCAATGCTTCGGTCCTTGCCAGAAAAATACAAAAGTCGTTGGCGTGATCATCTCCAGAAAGTCGTACATGCATTCAATTGTACCAGAAATGACGCGACAGGATACTCCCCATTCCTCCTACTCTTTGGCAGACCCCCGCGATTGCCAATTGACCTTATGTACGGTCTGAAACCCCCACCTGGCCACAGCACTTAACCTGAATATGTCAAGAAATGGCGAGAATCGATGTCCGAAGCATACCAACTTGCATCTGAAAAGGCAGAAAAGAACGCTACGAGTGGGAAAGTGCAATATGACAAGAAAGCTAAGAGTACGAGTCTACAACCCGGTGATTGTGTGTTAATACGAAATGTGAAAGAAAGGGGTGGTCCCGGCAAGTTACGGTCGTATTGGGAAGACAAAGTTTACAAAATCGTGCGTCGGAAATCAAATGAGATTCCCGTGTATGAAGTCATTCCTGAGAGTGGCGGGGAGAAGACAAGAGTACTGCATAGTACGTATCTTCCTGTGGAGAATGCTATTGTGAAACCAGCTCAGTTAAAGAAGAAAAAGAAGAGTGAGAAGGAGAAACAGGGACACACAAGATTATCAGACAGATAGTGAAGACGAGTTCGGGATTGCTACGTTTGCACCTGAATTAACGCGGACAGACCCAGAGGATGAATTCGTGCCAGTGTCGGTTGAAAATGAAGCCCAGCAGAGTGTTGAGGAAGCTGTACAAGAAGGTGCCACACCAGAAGAACTAGCTCAAGAGAGTCAATCGGCGACTGGTACCACGGTAGCAGCGGAGGCTGAGACACAAGTTGATTCACACCCAGTTAGTTCACAACGAGTACGACGACCACCAACCAGACTGGGATATGGCAATCTGGGCCAACCAACGGAACATTGGACCAGTATTAACGCGGTACATGCACCAGCCACAAACAACATGTATCTACACCAATACCCTGTGCTCCCGACACCTCCAATACCTTTCTTTCCCCCAATACTTCCTATGTCATTACCTGTATTTCCATTATATTGGTCAAGTTGTCAAGGACCAATTATGCCATCAAATATATGGTGTTAGACACTGATATCAAGAGTCACGAAATCGGAAAACGAAAATTGTTGAAATTGCCATCATGTTGCGAATAATGACTTGTAGAAAACAGAAACAATAAAACTTTACAAGAGTTAAAGTTCCAGGAAAAGTTCCTGACCAACAAGAAGCGAAAGCGGGGCCCGAAAAGATAAAGAAACACTTAGTTTAGATTACTGTCTAGGTTCAATATTTGTGAGTCTGATCAACCCACACAGTTGACCAAGAAGTAGCCAAGATGAGTACAGACTATAGCGTTAAATGTTGGGCTATATAAAGATAATGAGGACAGCTTAAATTATAGGAGGGGTGAGTGTAGGATGCCCATTAGCAATACGTCATGTAACATTAGTTAAATAGGAACTATTGCATCATGCAGTCGTGACAGTTACCATAGTAACGAGAAAGGACAGACAAACAGATTTCCAAGATGGCGATTAATAAACCACGTTGTTATTAATGTTCACATTGTTTTACGAAATAAATTGTGCTTTCTACTGTTTTAATACGTGAATTATGGGCTTGATCGAGAATTTAGTGAGCGGGCAACACATGCTCTCCCAGAAAAACTCGACAGATTGAGGCTCGGAAATGCAATAGACCTTTCCGGTAATTACTTCACGACTAACACTGTTTTCAACTTAGGACCACAAATGAATGGATTTTAAGTTTGTTTCTCACGGGCTATGGTCAGAGACACATGCATAAAAATAATTTTGGATTTTGACCAATAAATGTGGAAATAAGCTTAACCACGAAAACGAGGCTGAGGGGCCAAGAGGGGCCATGGCCTCTCAGCCTCGTTTTCGTGTTTAAGCTTACTTCCACCATAGCCCGTGAGAAACAAACTTGAAATATGTCCATTTAAGGTAGTCCTAAGTTGAAAACAGTGTAGTTGTGACGTAATTACCGGAAAGGTCTATTCCCCGCACTTTCTAGTCCTGCAAAAATTGTTTCATAATTTGTTTTGGTCACTTTTTATGACTTGAAATCGCCCGCAAATTGCAGTAGCATAGTTGAACTGTCTGGCGTTGGAATGCCGCCCCGCCCCCCTTTATTTGTGGTGCTACAGCCCGTTCCTCTGTACCGCCACCCCTGCGCGGAAATCCTCTAAATTCAGTATGAGAGGTCGGCATCTTTTCAAGTAAAAGTTTCATAATTTGTTTAGAAGAAACTGCGGCGAGTGACCTTTTATATAGAATAAACCAATTTTAGAAACACTTCTCATAAAAAAGTATAAAGTTATCTGATGAGTGAAAAACAAGGTTGGGTAAAAACCGCGGAGAAACATCAGCAAACTTTTGTTTTTCTGGACTATAGCTATACGAGGGATTTGAAAAGGAAACAGAGTAATGTATATATGGACTGCAGTTGCATCAATCGTACCTTTTCATTTAATTCTTAGCTTTTAAGTAGGTTATTTACTACTAAAAGTGAGCATTTGCTTGCAAAAACTGAAAACATCGTGCCGAAAACTCTAGCCATTTTCCAGCTGCTCAATACCACTTCAATTACACGCTTGTTTTATACTTCAAGAAATCACTCTGTTGGCCGCCATGTTATGGCGTCACCCAATCATAGGGCCTTTTGTCTGAAGTTATCGATCCTGTCTTAAAAGAGTTCACTGATCAGCTCTTGTGCGCCATTTTTGGGTGACACACTGCATATAGGGAAAGTAGATACCAACAACAGGCAAAAAACTGAATTTAGTGAAACAAAAAAACAGTATAGTTTATAAGTGCTATTAAATTGCTTATGTCAAGAAATTTCACACCATTTCACATCATCAAAGTTTTTGAAGGAATGTTACTTGTCAAACTTTGCCAAACTATATCTTAGCTCTTGAGATATTTAACGACGTCAAATTGCATAATGTCTTTCTGATAAAACCTTTAGAAGTGTTGTGGGAATTCCTAACTTGGGCTTTTCTCTATAGATGTAACATCCGAAGCACTGGTCTCCTTTATTTCAACCATATCTTGTATCAAACTGGAAAGTGACACCAGTTTCGCTACAGAGTGGATAATGCAATTCTTGGCAGAACTCGGATCAACTGAGAATGCTGAGGTATGAACTTACGAATACAACTGAACAACCGGTTATATATGGACATTTTCAGCCTATCGTGCATTGCAGGCGTTTGTTTGCTTGTGTTTATTTTCAGCCCGGCCTGAAATTTCAACCTACATGCATGGTTAAACGGTTGATCGGGTAGACATTTCAGCCCTGGCTTTCTATAAAAGCAGAGTTTCTGATTACATGACAAAATCTTTATCCCAGGCTTAAATATTATAAATATATATAAATTTTATAAAAATTGACTGGGCTGAAAATCGTCATGTATAGTCGTTTATATATTCTACAAATATGTTTGTATATACATTTATATATATATATATTTATAAATCATTATAAATGTGCCATTTATTTTTTCCGGATTCCATCTCTATACCACCACAGTTTCGCACAAAGCGAAATAGCTCTATTTCGAGATTTTGTCATTCAGCCTTGGCTGAGTTCTCATCCCGCACAATGGTTAGCGTCCCTTTAACTTCTGTGTCCGGTGTTCGATTCCTGCAGTATGCAGATATCTTCAGTTGAATGTGCACCAGTTTTACTCCTGTACACAGTAGAGCACCTTATTTACCCTATGAATAAAACGGTTTAGATCGAACTATATTACAGTCACCCCATGTATATATATGGGCAAAGTTAACTAATAAGTTCTTTGTAAGTTTGCATGGCGATAAAACATATAATAGTTTTTGTTTGTGGAAACACCACGTAAATTTATTACTGCAGTAATAAGTTTAGGTGGTGTTTCCACAAACAAAAACTATTATAAAGTTAACTAAGTTTAGGTTCGTCGTGTCGTTGCACTGGACTTGTATAAGTGATGACTTTAGTCGTATACCTGTGCAGGGAAAACAGCTCAGAAGACAGAGCTAATAGCACTATGCATCTAAATAAAGTTAAGTTCTTTGTACGTTTGCATGGCGATAAAACATATAATAGTTTTTTGTGTTTCCACAAACAAAACTATTATAAAAGTTAAGTTCCTCAATAATAATACACTGGCCTAGTAATCAACGGTGATTCTTAATCCTTAGTTTCTTTAGAACGTTAAATATAGTTCTTTTTTACAGACTATCAACTCCGTTTTGCTTGTCCTTACTATGGTTTCCCTGACAGTATGTGGAAACGAAGACGACATTTTAAAGACGATCCTGTCGCTACAAGATGGCTACTTGTTCCAGAATCACCACGTGTGGTTTTCGTTGATAAGAAATCTTTTCCCGTCCAGTTTTGCCTCCCTATTAGCACAACCACAATGGAAATTAAGAATTGAGAAGGTATGATCTAAGTGGTCAGTACAGATTCAGGATGCGATAATTCAATATTTTTAGCCGTACCTGACTGGTACTCCAACAATTTTTGCCGCGTACTTGAGCTGGTACAAACTTAAGAGACAAGGTGTAACTAATGCTACTTCCGAGTAAAAATTAATGAATTTTATATATTTAATAAATACGTTTACTATAGTACGCAATATATTACACATAAAACTAAATGCTCCACATTTATTCATTTGGCTAGTTCATGATAAACATTTTAATTGGATTGCTAATAACAGGAAATAAAACTTAAGATTTCCAACAGCCAAAAATGTTTCGATCACATTGAATGGTTTACTGGCCTAAAAGCAAAAACTATGGCCAATTTTGTAGAAATAAATCTTTAATTAATGGTATTTGTACGACATAACATAACAATTTTCAAAGCGTTGTTGCGACTCGAATGCCATCGCTCATTTACCGATTAGATTTACCGAGGGTGCTAACAGCCTAACAGTAAACAAGACGCCTACTCAGGCGTTCACTCCGGGTACAGGGCCTTAACTAAGCGCAAACTACTTTAACGGAGGGTCCTGAAGGGGTAAAATGGGAACTGGGATTGATCTATTTTTAGACTGGGAAAATGGGATTTGGGTTGCTGGGACTGGGATTTGGCCACTGGGAATGGGAAATGAAGTCCTCAAAAATGGGAATGGGATTGAGGTAATGCGAGTCGACTCCCAATTTTTCTACGTTTTAAGTATTTTAAAATACACTTTTGAACCGTTTTTGGTGTCTTTGGTCATGATTTTTGTTGTTAACTATATTATTCACAGCACTACCTGCGAACAGGCATACTCTGGCGCCCGGAATTGCAAATGCCATTTCCGGGATTCAAATTTAAAAACTTTCCGTGCCTTCGGAACGAGTCCCCCCCCCCCCCAATGTTTCATAAAATGTCCACCACTTGCACACACGGTGGCTTAAAAGGTCTTAAAACTGTTTATTCTACCGATAAATAAAGGGTTTTTTATTGACTTGGATTTCATTAACCCGGACTGGGATTTCTAATAAAAATCCAACTGGGACTGGGATTTTGCCAAAATTTCAGGTGGGAAATGGGATTGGGACCCCGCCTTCAGGACCCTCTCAACGTATGCTTATAAACGGCAATGAAGGTATCTTTAATGCATGATATTTAGCATATTAAAGTTGGAAAAGTGGGAGAACTACAGTGTAACCACTTCACCAGGTGACTAAAAACATATGCAACGATCATAATATTTTACAACATAAAAATATCTCTTTTATCTCTAATAAAAGCTATCTAGTTCTTTATTAAAAGTTCTATTTAAAACATGCGTAGGAGTGTTTTATCGAGTCGTATATAATAAGTTGGAGGCCGTATTTTACAAATATTTTATGGGGTTTTTTATTGTCGAGGGTAGAAATTCGAGGGTGAAAAGCTTGAGGGTATACATTTTAATAATTTAACAAAATAATAATTTTAGCTCGTGTTCATTTAGTTTACTTTTAATTTTTAGCTCTTATTTTTATATGCAATTATTATTTTTTTATATGCGATTACTTTTTATATGATAAAATATTACTACATGAAAACAGACATGCCGATCAAAAGCTACAGTCGAGATAGTTTCAAACGGCGTGGTGCATTATCTGCGTTATCTCGGATTGCATGTCGCAAATTATTGTATTGTCTATTCACTATATGGTCTATTGAATTTACACCTTGCCATTGCCATACGCCTTTTCCGGGTTCGCGACGCCATCTTGAAAGTATTGTTTTCCCTATCGTGCTTGCCCCACTTGCAAATTTATCTATAGGGAATGCCCGCAAATTTCTACCCTCGACAATAAAAACCATAAAATATTTTAGAAATACGACCCCGGACTTTTTACTGATGACCCTCGACTTTTTTATATGACCCTCGACGTTTTATATATGATTTTTCGACCCTCGCTTCCCGCCCTCGACCCTCGAGAAAAACTCCTGAAACTGAATTACGTAAACAAACCACATTTATCAAACACGCAAAGAAAATTATTTAAAAAGTAATATATTGTTAGTCGTGTCATATAGTTGTCAACACTTTTTTAATGCATGGTAGTAAGTTCATAACTGGCACCATAACTCATAATTAACTAGTGTTATGTTGATATTTTGTTTATACATATTGATTGTTTTAATTTGTAAGGCTTCGCTGTAAGTTTGTTATTAACAAACGTTTAGATTGTTTTAAGCATCTTAGTAATGATTTTA